CCATGTCTGTTTACAGAGACAAAGTTTTTGAGAGGCATTTGTGATGATCTGTTGGATTATGAAAACAAAATGAAAGGAACAACTGGTAAGAATGTGGTGAGAAACAAAGAACAATGTGAATCCACCAAAGTATCTGTTGGTGGACTAGATGAAAGGGAAGTGTTGGGTTGTAACTGTTAAGAACCAACAGTGTTAAGCCGGGCGTTGGTGGCGCACGCCTTTAATCCCAGCACTCGGGAGGCAGAGCCAGGCGGATCTCTGTAAGTTCGAGGCCAGCCTGGGCTACCAAGTGAGCTCCAGGAAAGGCGCAAAGCTACACAGAGAAACCCTGTCTCAAAAAACCAAAAAAAAAAAAAAAAAAAAAAAAAAAAAAAAAAAAAAAAAAAAAAAAGAACCAACAGTGTTGAAAGAAAATTCCAAATCTGTGTGTTTGCTTAGCAAGCACTCATTCATGTCCTGTGTCTGGTCAAACCTAGAGATTCCTTCTACTCTAACTGTATTGATTTTGGTCTTGGGGTCTTGAATCAGAAATATCCAGGCCTTATGTCTCTTTGTCAATCAGAGATGCTACTACTTCCCTTCATCCAGTGCCCACTGAGGTGCATGGATATCAGAAAGCCACATAGTTGCCACTGTCCTTAAATCCTGTGTTGATGATGAGACTGTACAAAATTCTCTTCTGCTGGTTTTTAAGCCCACCGGAAGGACACCTAGATGCATCATAAGCAGGAAAGGGTGAGTATGCCTCGGGCTCCTGGAATCCTGGGTGGTAGTGCATTTGTGACATTGCAGAGACCATGGTGCTGCTGCCTGGATCTCCCCTGGCACTGTGCAGATCATTGTGTCCTGGAGTCCAGCATCGGCTTCAACCTTCCCAAAGCACTGGAATTGTGTGCAAAGGAGGTAGTGTGCACAAGGTCTCCCACCCTGTTTTGCCCCAAGAAAACTAACTACATTGTCCCATGCCACTTTCTTCTTGGAGTGAAAAAGTGTCTGCAACCTGTACCTCTGCAGAATTTGTAGTACTGCCAGGTCGGTGACACTGAGTCCAGACTGTGGTATGGAGGGACGTGGATGGTGAACTCTGTCACTGGTGGCCCTAAGAAGAATGTTGTGCTACTTTAGATTTTTCCTGCCATCGCCTTTGTAGTTTGGCACTATACTACATCCCCCAAGCCCCAACTCTAAATCATATATGTGCTCTATCCTTTTAAAAGTGAGGATGTGATTCCCACCAACAGTGGAGGAGTATTCCCTTTGCTCCATATCCTCTCCAACATTGACTGTCATTGGTGTTTTTGATCCTAGTCATTCTGACAGGTGTAAGGTGGTATCTCAGAGTCATTTTGATTTGTATTTCTCTGATGATTAAGGATGTTGAGCATTTCTTTAAATGTCTTTCAGCCATTTGTGATTCTTCTTTTGTAAATTCTCTGTTTAGTTCTTTAGCCCATTTTTAAATTGGATTGTTCAGTATTTGATGTCTAGTTTCTTATGTGTGGCTCTGTTCATGCCTTTTCAGAACACTGGAGTAGGTAAATGTTTTTCCACAATGCTTACATGCAAATGGCTTTGCTCCAGTGTAAATCATTTCATGACTCTTCAGATTACTGGAGTGGGTAAATGCTTTTCCACAATGCTTACATGCATAAGGCTTCTCTCCACTGTGAAGACTTTCATGTCTTTTTCAAGTACTAGGGTCAGTGTAGGCTTTTCCACAATGCTTACATACATAAGGCTTCTTTCCAGTGTGATTCCTTTTATGTGTTCTCAGATTACTGGAGCAGTTAAAGGCTTTTCCACAATGCTTACGTGCATAAGGCTTCTCTCCAGTGTGAATTATTTCATGAATGTTCAGATGACTGGGGCGGGTAAATGCTTTTCTACAATGCTTACAAGTATAATGCTTCTCTCCTGTGTAAGTTACTTTATGTTTCTCAAAACATTTTGCATATCTAAATGTTTCACCACATTGCCTACAATTGTACCTTTTTTTTTTCCAATATGACTATTTTTATAGTTGATAAGGTCACTGGAATTAATGAAGGCTTCTTCACAGAGCTTACCTACAAATTGTTTCACTTCTTTATGGATTACTTTATCATTTTGAACATATGTGTATCTTGTTAATCATTCTCATTGAGATTATCTCTAGTTTGAATACTCTCCTGAGGCTGATCAAAACAGAGGCTTGTACAGGCTTCATTAAATTGTTGACTTTTACAGGGCTTCTCCTTAGGAGAAATTTCAAGTACCTGAAGTGACTGAGAATGACTGATATCGTTCCAATGCTTCTGATGTATAAAAGCTGTTGACATAGCTTTCTTTCATACAGATGGTAGCCCTGTAGTTTGGATTCTGATGCCCATGTGAGGATGAATGACCAATCTTATTTCTTACATACAAAGGGCTCTCATGTACTCTTACTGCTGGAAGCATCTGTATATTAATGATATTCTCTGTAATATGATCCTGGTTTTTATCACACTATCACATTTGTAGCCACATTCTTTCTCAATCACCTGAGTTCTGCAAAAGATGAGAAGAGCATTACTGTAAATGAGGGAAATATTGGAGGAGGCTGGCTTGTGTGGACCACTACAAATATACTATCTCAGAGGCAACAGAAGAATCTAGTTAATGTTAAGGACAGTATGGACCACATGTAAAGACTCTGCTATGTGTAAAGAAGTCTACTTAAGTATATTTCACTTTAGGTATATTTTGGTAGGTTGTCCGTTGTCCCATGATTTCCAAATATTTGAGATTAATTCCTTCCTAGTGAATGTAAATTACACCATTTTTCTGAGATCTTTGCAGTCCTCTCCAAATTTTTCTTCTACTGCTTTATCTAGAAGAAAATCCAGAGAATACATGACATGTTTCCTTCATCACAATACTGTAGAGCTTCTTTTGACTAGAATCCAACAAAGCCCACTCTTCTAAGGTGAAGTTCACAGCCACATCCTCAAAGGTCACTGGCTCCTAAGAGTGCATATATTAGGATGGTTAATTTTAACTGACAGACTGACAGGATACAGAATCATCTAGCATAGATGTTTCTGAAAATACCTCTAAATAATCCTGTACATAGAATTAACTGAAGCATATCTGCAGAATGCTATCTTTATTACTTGGTGTAATATAGGAAGATCCACTGCCTCATTAGTAATCCACTGCCCTTAGGAAACATCATGATATAGCAACTAATATAAAACAAAGTCTTTAATTGGGGCTTGCCTACACTTTTAAAGAGTTGCTCAGTGAGTATCATTGCTGGAAGCAGACAGGCATGAAGGTGGAACACATTCAAAACAACACCCACAGCCATTTGAGCAGTATTTTGTGAACTCTATGGGGATTACAGTAGTGGGAGGAGGGAGCTGACAGACAAGTACACTTTACTCTCTTCCTGATGGTATGCACTGTGACTAGCAGCTTCAGTGTTCTGAATTTTATGAACCGTACCTTTCAATTGTGATATGAAATACAATCCTTCTACCTAAAGTCACTTTTTTCAGAGCCATGTATGAAAGCTAGATAAAAAGCCTACTATATGGAAGACATATAAGGGCTGAGAAGATGGCTCAGTGGTTAATAGCATTGGTTTCTCTTTCAGAGGTCCTGAGTCCTATTCCCAACAACCCTCATTGTGGAGACCTGCCCCACCGAGGAAAGGTAAGTGCCACCCTCTTACCTGAAGACAATCAGACGCAGCAGGAAGTCAAGTCAAGCAAGAACTCATTTATTGATAGGCAATAAGCCTCTTTTACACCAGAAAACCTCAGAACCCTAGGAGGGGCTGAAGGAACCAACCAATCATTTTAAAGGTCACCCTATTTGCAAGCTGTTTATGCCCTGACATCATCTCCTATTTTCAGTATCTTAGCTTAGCATAAATAACTTGAGCTAACTTTCTTTTTCACTATTCTTCTTTAATCTCCATACAAACAACCCAGGCTAACTTCCTCTTAGCCATCCTTTGTATCTATTCTCTGCACAAACAGCTTAAGCTAACTTCCTCTGGTACCATTTGTATCCACTCTCTGCATAAACAGCTTAAAGCTTAAGCTCTATTTATCTAAATTTCTCTCAGCACCCTCTTTGCAGCCCATGTATGCCCCACAGATCCCCCCTTTTTGTTTTTTAAATAAGGTGGGCTGTTTATCTGTTTGGCATGCCCCCTCCTTTTTTTAAAGTCAAACCCAACATTTATTGAGAACACAGAAAATCAATTGACAGATCAGTCCTAAATCCCCCAGTGATGTAGTTATGAAGCAAACACAGTATAGGTTTTTAGTCCTAACACTAGTTAAAAATTTTAGGGGATTTCTCTAAAAAGTCTGTTGTTACCAATGTCGTGAGCAGGAGAAAAAGCTTTTACTATCTAAAGTATTTACATGAACATCTAAGGAGAGAAGAGTTAAGAAACCAGTTAAAGGTACAAAGAGAGAGTTATCCTTCCTGACCCCTATTCCCAAAGTCAGTTGATGATTTCTAAAAGGGGGCTGTTTTATTCACATTTAGGAATTACTAGAATCAGTCCATCTTTGAGTCCAGTCCCATGGAGAATTGTCAGCCCACACCTCCGGAGAAGGTTGGTGCTGAGTTGTCCTCATCATACATGGTTACTAGTGTCCATTATGTACTTGGCCTCCAGCACATACTTCTCCTGAAACTCCCAGTCCAGGACCCAGTGAGTGCTCACGTCCACGCTGTCCGGGTTGCAACAGAAGGGCAGACTCTCCCCCTCTTAGAGCCCAGAGATCCTGGGACTAGAGGGCACTACACGCTGGGAAGGAGTCTTTGATGAAGGAGAAGTACACACAGGCACAGCCTGTCCAATGACATCCGTCCTCCCGCTGGGTTGCGGACCCCACAAAGACCTGGAGGAAGATGGTGAGCAAGGGGAAACCACCATTGTGAATGTTGAGCTGTTCCCGGGGACTGTGGTCCAGGCTTTTGGTTTAAGTAGAGAAGGTTAGTGTCCTCTTGGATGTAGATCCAATCATCTTCATGCAGCCATGTGCGGAAAGATGCTGGCCCAAGTGAAAGCTGGGGACTTCTTCAGGAGCATAGAGCAGAGGTATGCCATACGCTGTTCCACATACAGCCTCTCTCAATAAGCATCCCTAGAGAAGTAGAGGTCCAGCGGGGCTTCACTCAGCAACAGCAGCAGAAAAGACAGTTTTAACCTCAGCCCCAGGGTGCTGGACCATTGGTTGTGCATGTGAGGGCTGTGGCAGAAGTGCAGGTTGGTCTATGGCAGTGGGGCGTGGCCACACTAAAGACCATCTTGGAATAGTCACCATTGTCCCCAGGCTCTGAGGACGTCAAGGAGCCAATAGTAGGGCCCTGTGAAGTGGTAGCGGATACTGGAAGCAGGTGGTAGAGTTATCCTGGGGTGGGTGTCAGAGGCTGCTGCAGGGAAGATGGGGAGGCCGAAGGATGTGGGGGCAGTGGTGGTGTGGGAATGAGATCTCTGGGCTGTAGCAGGAGCCAGGAAGAGCAGAATGACCATTGACTGGAGTACCGCCATCTGATATCACAATAGCACACACTTGCAGCTCATGTAGCCAGGGCCACTCTTATCAGGAGGGTTTAGCTCCCATAGTTTGTGTTGCCGAATCTCACGTACAAGTGTATAGAAGGCATCCTCCACACCCTGCCGGGTCCTGGCTGATGTTTCAATGTAGGAGATGCCATAGCTGCGGGCAAGTTCCTGGGCCTGCTGAGACTCAACAGTACGAGAGGCCAAGTCACACTTGTTCCCCACCAGCACCATTGGCACATCATCTGAGTTTTTTATCCATTTGATGTGCTCCCTGTACTGATGGATGTTGTTAAAGGACTTGGTGCTGTTGATGGCAAACACACAGAGGAAACCCTCCCCCGTGTGGATGCATTGGTCCCTCACGGCACCACATTCCTCCCGACCTGCTGTGTCTAGGATGTCCAGCAGACATGTTTCCCCATCAATGACCGCCTGTTTTCGATGGAAATCCTCTATGGTGGGGTCATATTCATCCACAAAATGATTCTGGATCAGCTGGATGGTCAGGGCACTCTTTCCCACACCTCCAGCACCCACCACCACAAGCCTGTATTTTGTCATTATCTTTTGTAGGGACTGTCACTCCAGGAGCTCCTGCCTCACAAGGGGCAAGAAGGAGTGGCTGGGTAGCAGAAGGCCCAGATTGGGGCCCCGATGCTGGTGTCCTTGTAGCCCTGAGGCCAGAGTGTGATGGCCACGGGATGCAGAATAACTGAATATGGGGGATAATTTCCCCTTTTGTTCTATTAAAACAAAAACATATTTAAATTTAACAGCTATTTATCAGCAGATATTTGGCTCTGGGGTTAACTCCCTGCGTTTGTAAAAGGGGTACCTTTAGGAAGGGTTGGCATGCCTTGTATGGACTATCTTTTAATGTTAATATCCTAAATCCCAATGCCAGCTCGTCAGCTTGGCAGTTTCCCTTGGACAGAAATTCTGGAAGCCCAGAATGCCCCCTCATATGTTGTATGGGGCATTCCCGTCCCTCCAGTAATCCCTTGAGGGCAACCGTGAGTGGGGAAATTAACTACATACTCTGTTGGACTCCATCTATGAAATCCGGTAGGGGTTTGTTGGGTTTTTGTCTTACCCCTACTATGGGAGATTTGGCAGGCCTTTATCTAATTTGTCCCAGGCTACAAGCCCCAGTTGTCTAACCTAATCTCGGTAAGGACCTTGTACAAACCACCTGTTGGACCCCCGTAAAGTACCCTTCAGCTGTACCTGCTGGCATGCCATAGGTAATAGGGATGGGGGATCACCCAATTGGCCTCAACCCTGGTCTGGCATTCCTCCTTATTTTTAGCCTCTCAGGGGTACCACTTTAGAGGTCTATTAGGGCTGGGGGTCAACTTTTCCCCTGACCCATACCTCCCAGGGAGGGGCTGGTTGTAGGGGTTCATATCACAGAGATCTCTCCTTAATGCCATGTATGGTGTTTGAGCAGCCTCAGCCCCAGGGTCCCAAAGTGGAGGGCCAGAATCCCTTGAGGCCCAGGGCTTGGGTGCAGTGATTTTTACTTTTGCTTTAACCTCTACCATATATTTCTCTGTGAATCTCACACACTCCGCGCCAAATTTGGCCCAATTATTTTTTTCTTTACTCTCAGGACCTTCCCCATCTTTTTTGGCCCCGGGGGGGGGGGTCCCTGTTTTCCTTTCTTTCTTTTCTAACCCTTGGGGAGAATCATTCTCCCTCTTTGACTCCTGAAAAGGGGGTGGCAGAGAACCTGGTGAAAAGCCACCTTAAAGGCTATAATAGTGGGGTAGAAGCCCAGGGGCGGCAGTATGCCGAAATGTTTCTCCCTTTCTCTTGCCAGCTTTTCCATTTGGACCAAAGTGCCGCAGGAGAAAAGGATGGCACTAGGCACCCAAAAGGCAAGGAGAATTATAATCTCCCATTATATTGTCCCATTATAATTGGCGACAATATTACTTTTAGAAATTTCAAGCCCTCTAGACTTAAACATATAACACAGGACCTTGAGGGCTGGCTTATCACTTGAGGAGGTTGCATTACCCATACTGAAGGTTTCCGTGACCTTGGAAGACCGCTTGGCCTCAGCTGAAGTACTTCAAGCCCCACGTTAGGGTGCCAGCTGTGGGGACCTGCCCCACTGGGAACTTAGGTCACCTGTGAAGAGGTGGCCTGGAACCGAGGAAAGGTAAGTACACACCGCTCGCCTGTTCTCTAGCCTCCCTCTTACCTGGAGACAATCAGACGCAGCAGGGAGTCAAGTCAAGCAAGTAGGCTTCTTTTATACCAGAAAACCTCAGAAACCTAGGAGAGGGTGAAGGAGCCAACCAATCATTTTAAAGGTCACCTTATTTACAAGTTGTTTATGCCCTGACATCATCTCCTATTTTCAGTATCTTAGCTTAGCATAAAAAACTTGAGCTAACTTTCTTTTTCACTATTCTTCTTTAATCTCCATACAAACAACCCAAGCTAACTTCCTCTGCACAAACAGCTTACACTAACTTCCTCTGGTACCATTTGTATCCACTCTCTGCATAAACAGCTTAAAGCTTAAGCTCTATTTATCTAAATTTCTCTCAGCACCCTCTTTGCAGCCCATGTATGCCCCACACCCCATAGTGGCTCAAAACCATCTACAATAGAGGTAGACCTTTTCAGTCATGCAGGCATACATGCAAAGACAGCCTATCATATACAAAAATAAATACATCTTAAAAAAGAAATACATTTAAAAATTGGGGCCATTGTTGTAAGTATACTTAACCAGGTTCTTTGTAGGCATGTTTAACATGTTTTGGAAAGAATGTGCAGGATGTAGCAAGATAGGTTTTTTTTGTTTTTGTTTTTTTTTGTTTTGTTTTTTGTTTGTATTTTTTAGAGAAGAAAAACAATTGAACACACTGAACACAAAGCCGAATGTATCATTCTAGTAGATGCTTCAAGTCAAAAGTGCTGAAAGAAATGCCTTCAGGGGAGACAAGGATCAGGAAGGCTCAGTGGAAACAAGAATTCTGTCAGAAACTGTCTTATTATAGTCAAGAACATAACTTCATTTGGCCCTACATCAGAGATTCTGAATTGAACTTGAATGTAAAGATTTTGGAGTACCCGTTAGATGAAATGAATGTGAGCAAGCTACAGTGTTAAACAAAGGGAGCAGCTGGAATTGATAACAAGTTTAGTACTTTGCACTGGGCCAATGGTGAAGCAAGGAAAACTGAGCAACTTTGAACTTTACTTTGCTTGGGCTCTGCACAAAGCCCTCTCTGAACAAGGAAGCTAGCAGCCGGTTGGTTTCCTTATTGGGACAATCATCTTCAGTGGGCTGTATCTCTATCTGCTTTAAAAAGGACAAGTTATTTCCTTTAGTAACTATTATGTTCAAATAACTTTTGGAAAACAGGTGTGCAAGAAATTCTAAAATACTCAAAACACTTTACATCATGTCAGTCAAAAATTTGGGCAGAATGGATTGGCCCTCAAGGGGGCTACCCCTAGCTAAGAAGGCATTGGCAGTTGATAGCTTTGGGAGTATAGACACATTATCTTCAGGAATGTGGTCACTAGTATAATGCTCATACCCTATGGATAGCTACACACATTTGTACAGCACTAACTCCACTCAGTGGGTAACAAAACTAAATAAAAAGACACAAGGCTGGAGATATGGATCAGGGGTTAAGAGTGTGAGCTGCTCTTTCAAGGGAACTGGTTTCCATCCCTAGCACTCACATGGCAGCTCGCAACTGTCTGTAACTCCAGTATCATGTGGTCTGGCATCCTCACACAGACATACATGCTGGTAAATGTCTGTGGCATACAACATCAAAGGCTGTCTGTTTTTCTTCATATATATTCTATCTTTAACCTGTATGATTCAAACCTGAACTGAGTGTCATAGGGAGCATGAAAAGAAAGGTTCTGTGAAATCTGTGGGTAGGTAGGGTTGGTACAGATGGCCTGTGATGTGCAAGTGGGAGATACAATAGGATTGAAAATGTAAAAACAAGTATGGGAAGGGAAGAGAGGAGTTGGGACTATCAAGGTTCGGGACTATCCTCAGCCATACAATCATTTTCAGGCCAGACTGCTGGCCCACAAGAGTGCCTGTCTAAAAAAACAATAAATAAACAAAAACAGGTATCGTGAAGCAAGCCTTTAATCCAAGAATGAATGACACAGACTAGGGTATTCTCTGACAAAGGCTAGCCTGGACAACACAGCAAGTTCCAGGATAATAAATATATTCTGAATGTAGTACACACTCTAGTCAGTACCCAAATAAAACACATTTTCTCTAGCAGGTGTAGAAAGCACATTTTTCTTTCTCTCACATGAATGTTCTGAATCTTTCCCAATGATCAGAAATTACATAACCAACAAAACCAACTATTTGAAGGCTAGAGGAGAGATAAAGTATCAATATTTTTTCTAAGGTATGAAATGCTGGAAATTTTTTTGGCTACTAGGACGGCCACTGCTACCCAAAGACACACTGTCTCATAAAAAAACAAACAAAGCAAGGAACAAAAAAACTGTGTAAAGAAACAAAGACAAACACCTGAACATAATATTATAGTGCTCTAAAATAAAGCTATTTATTCCATTGTGGGAGTTCACTGCACAGTGTAACAACACATATGGTATTTTGCTGCACTCACTCCCTTCTTCACATACACAGTGTCCCCCACCTGCCTTTTCCAAAATACAGTCCTTAAGTTCGCTCTGTACATTCCAAACTCATGCTCTAAAGGCCAAATGCAGGACTTCAGAGTAGGAGCAGGCTCCTGGCAAAATCAAGCATAGGAAATACCTATAGGGCTTGATAGAAATCCTGAAAGACTGGGGATGAGACAAAAGCCCATGACTTTCTCACATTTCATGTTTCAATGTAACTTTTCTGCCAAGAAAATGAGAACACACCAGCAATGGGATGCACTTTCTCAATGGATGAATAAAACAGACATACATGGCATGAGTAGTCCTAAGGATTTAGTTATAAAAAACAACCTTGACTTTGAAATGATTTTCCTTGCCCAAGGCCATGAAGAAAGCCTCCATTCACTAGAGTAAATACTCCCCAAATCAGGATTTCACTGACTGCTAACAAGAGGCCCCCATGGTCATTCCCTAGTGATAATGCAGAGACACTAAATGATTATCCTTGGGACCTCATCATGCCTGATATTCCTTTCAGGGTCATGAAATAATTTCTTCAACACCACAGTTTTCTGGCAAGTAATAATGTTGTTCACACACAAACTAAGATTTGTATATTTCACTTCTTGAGTATGGATGTTTTTCTCATATGTATATCCATGCACCACATGTATGCTTGGTGTCCTTGGAGGCCAGAAGATGGCATTGTATCCCCCGGAGCTTGAGTCACAGACTGTTGTGAGCCTCTTTGTGGGTGCTGCATGTGAGGCCAAAATAAGAAACTCCTGCCAATTTAGATAATAAGAGACCAAAACAGGAAAAAATATACCTTGCATGTTAAAAGTTCAGTTTGCAATAAAGCAAGTTAAAATGAAGTTTAGAAAGTGTTTTGTGTTGCATGAGTCAATCAAAGAAAGAGATCATTCCAAGATCAAGTTTTTAGGCCTATGT